AGAGAGAGAGAGAGAGAGAGAGGGGCTGTAATAATTATTGTGCAGTTGTTATCGTGTACGTCCCGACGATCGTAATACACTGTATTATATAGCCTTCACGGCCCTTGCGGTAAATCTCTCGTGCTGACATAATGGCGTTGCATCACATGCAATCTGGATGTAAAACCACGTTAATAATATTATCTAACATTTTCATACATCTAAAATGACTGTATTTATAGTTATTAGCGCGTCATTTTATACCTTTATTTTCTAATTAAGAAGATTAGTCTTTAATCAATTTTATAGACGATAAAGACGGTCGTGCGAAGAGAATGTTCGCGGCGCGCAAAGTTTTCAGACAGCCGCAGTTTTCCAACTCATGTCGCAAGTATGCTAAGCGGAAAATGCCAGGAATCCCAGCGTAGGGCGTCGTTGCAGAAGCTATTAAAACCAGTTTACCGCATACGCAGGAGCGTTGTTACGAATGTTCCTGCGTAACATTCTGAGCTGTTGCGTCCGAAGAATGCGTGATCCTCTTTCGGAGATTGCAGGCGTCGCGACGCCGACTTCTCTCTTTCTCTCTCTCTCTCTCTCTCTCTCTCTCTCTCTCTCTCTCTCTCTCTCTCTCAAGTTTCACAATCCCTTGTGAGGACGCGATTACGGAACCAGCTGCGCAATAGAAAAGATCATAAGCCACGGGGATTTCTGATAAACAGGGGCAGATACGCGCAATCCGTCAGATCTCGTTTCGTCTTGTTCTTATCGCGGTAACGCAGTTAGCGATCCCGGCAACACTCGGAATTGGATGGGCTGCTCGCGAGAGGCGACGATCACAGAGTGGTCCTTTTGTTAGTTTCGCACGGGGCGCGGCCACGTCGAAATTCGGTAATTGCTTTCACGATTGGATCGAGTGAACTGGGAGATTTCCCAAGTCCCTCGACTTACATACCTCGATTCGACGAAGGCACATAAAGCGAGAGTCGACTGCTTGTTTTCCCTGTTGATTATCGTCACGTATTATTGTTGTCCTGTTGTCTCTGAATTCGCTTAGCTTATCGATTCTGATGTCACGTTATGCACCATGAATTTATTTTAAATTTGTCTCAATTTCAAATTTAAAGTTAAACATTTTGATAATTGTATAATTTTACGATATTTATGTCTGTCATCCGGTTAAATCTACATTGCATTATCTTTGTGCAAATGCAAATTAATTTACGTTTAATTAAATTTTTATACATACGCTTTCATTAATTTATTTTATTTATCTGATTATATGCGCAATATTGATTTTCGTAATCAATCGCTTGGCATAACGAGTGATAATCCGAAACAGATTTTAGCGTATTCCTTTGGTCGAATCAGTATGGGCACTTCGAAATTCGGAGATTGCTTTTTGCAATTGGATCAAGCGCAGTGGGAATTTAATATCCCAAATTTCTGTATGTGAGAGTACTCAATTCCAGCTTATTCTCTATACTCTCATATCATATTTCTTGCATGCATTTCTTGTTACATCCTCCCAATTTGTTAATACTTTCATAAAGTATTATATTCTCAATTCATTAGCAAATATATTTATCTCTTCCGGAAACAATTTAAAAAAATTTTTTTGCAGTCGTAGTCAAGTAATAAAATAAAAATGGTGTCAAGTATAAAGTTTTCGATCAATAATCGATAGTTACAAAACCGTTTTTAATTCGTTTCATAGTTCCGCGAACGTACTCTAGAGAGATGAACTTTTATTGCACGGCGTGTGACAAACGTTTATTCGATGGCACGATCAAACTCTACCGGGACAATAATATTTCGCGCCGGCCAACTCGAACGCGAATGACGCGAGTTCCCTTTGTGCGTTCGGTGCAGACGTGGCCGCGCGTCGAAATTCGGTAATTACTTTCTGGATTGGTTCGAGCGAACTGGGAGTTCAATCTCCCAGTCTCGCACTCTCACCTTACGTCCCCCTCTCGTTGTCCTTCTCTCTTTCTCTTCCCACCCGTTCTCTCTCTATCTCATTCCCCCGTTTCACGTTTTTGTTGTTCTTCTCTCGCCCAACACGACTCCCCTCGCGTTCCCTCGCGAACATAATTACAGACTGCGAATTCCAAGCCAATGGATGGTCAATGCCATACTCCGAGACCCCAACCTATCATCACAAGCCTCTGGTTAACTCAGACCTCGAAAAGAGGTTTCGACGTTCTACGATATCCGCACGTTTTTCGAAGGGTTTCAACCGCGCCATTTGTCTAACCCTCGATCGTACGGAGGTGTCTTTCCATATCAATAGCAGACGAGTCAATTATTTGCCAACCCCTTACTCTTTCATTAATGTTTTTAATTATATAGTGGACACCTACGCGCGCGCAAAGAAAGTGGATAGAATGATACATTAATGTCACATTGGTTCATTCACAATAAAATATTACTTTTAATTTAAAAATACTTGTGCCCATTTCTATCAATGATTAGATTAATTTTAATCTCTGTTTAACTTGTTTTTTCTTTTTTAATTTTTTTGAAAAAGATAAAGGATAGATTTAAGCCGAGATTAAAGTCAATCTACATCGGTAGAAACGGATATTAGTTGAAATATGAGTAATTTTTTTTAATGAAAAAATATTAAATTTTTAATACCGAACTTTAAAAAACAATCAATATATTACACGTATATTCAGACAATAATTTTTTTGAAAGTAATAACTTATTGCGAGTCTGATGTGGATGAGCTCAGAAATTGACTTCCAACTTCGAATGACTATGAAATACGTAAAGAGCCGACTGTCGCGTGAAACCGTGGAAATGGTCACTCGTTACGCGGGTAATGATCCCGACTGCGATGAAGAGTACTTGCAAGTCTATAGCCACTCACGTGACGGTTTGATGCACGTGTGGCCGGTCACACGCACGAGCTGTAACTTTCTGGAGGGATAATCGTGCATATGGACGAGGCATTTGCCGCGGTATTTGATGCTCTTGAATAATTGATCGAAAATGTAGGACGAACTCGCGACTACGGTAACAATAAAGTGGAACTAGCGGGTGTTGCACCGATGATGGTGAACGTGGTCATCTGCCTTCGAGAATGTAAAGAAAGGTCAATGGACAGTCGCGAGTTAACGCGACTCTGACGGATGTAACGTTGGTGCGCTCTAATAATTTTTAAATACACACGCTTGCAAGAATTATGTGTGTTGTAAAAGTTGGAACAATACACCGCTTGTCTTATAAATTAAGATGCGAAAAAAATCGGATTTATAACTAGCGCTAACTGTAGCTGCACATAATGAAGTTAATAACATTTTTAATTATATGAATATAGTCTTATATGATTAAATTATAGTTTGTAGTATTATATTATGCAAATATAATACTACATATAATTTAATATAATTACATTATATTATTACATTAATATATTTATTATGATTAAAGATATATCAATTATCCGTAGATAATTTATATAAAATTATTTTTTATTAATATTATCATGTGCAATTTTTTTAGAACATCATAAAAATATATATATTTATTATATAAATTTAATATAATGTTAATTTTATCAATTATATTTATTTTTAAAATAATAATTATTATGATATAATTATTATGATTAAAAATAGATAATGGTCTGACTAATCATAATTAGATATTTTAGAAAAATATTATATTCTGTTTTACAGAGATCTCAGTCACAATCAGATCGCCACCATAGGACCGAAGACTCTCAGAGGAGTGTCCGCTCTCAGACATTTGTAAGTATCTTATCGGATGTGTTTGCTACAAAGACAGATTATTCCGTAACGATCTCTCTCGAGACCATTTAATCACAGTCTAGTCGCCCATTATAAACTACGCTCAAATGTTTTACATATGACATCTTTACTCACGTTACAGATAAAACCTTCTGATAAAATTTATAATGGAGTTTCTATTTTAAATCTACTATGAATATGCATGATATTTTTTAATTTTTTATAATCACATTTTTTTCTATGTCATCTATCATTTTCCAAGTAAAAATAAAATAAAATTCTACGTAATGAGATAGTAAGTCCAGTATTTGAAATGTAATTTATAAAATTTTTCCGAAGTATATACGATTCATCTTTTAAACAATTATTTTATTTATATGAGAAGTTTATAATTATAATTATAATAAGAAGTTTATAATTACATAAATATTTTATTCAAAAAGCATAAAATTTTATTTTTTGTCTTTTTATAGATTACTTGATAACAATGTGCTGACCTGTGTAGACGAGGCTTCGATACGAGAATTGAAAGATTTGGAAATATTGTACGTGTTCGAATTTATTAACTTAATGTCTAAGCGTATTACAATTATTCGGATTATGTATCAAAGTAAGTTTGCATTCGAGTGAATATAAACGCGACGAATGCACATTTTAGGATGCTGAACAATAACAAACTTGTATCACTCGGCAAGGAGATGTTGAACGGCTTGTCGCATTTGCGAACTTTGAAGCTTGCGGACAACGCTCTCGCTTGCGATTGCCATTTAGCATGGTTATCGCGTCATTTGAAGACTTATCCTCGCCTAGGGCAACACACACGATGCGCATCTCCTGCTCATCTCAAGGATCGCAATCTCGCCGATTTACAGGTGTGTTTAACTAAAGAGTCATGTTACCACTTATTGAATTTCAGATTCAGATAAAATTTGTACATGTCTATTTTATTCAGTTTAATTAGAATTTAATATATAGTAGTATAGTATAAGCAATTTAATATATTACGTTGTAAATATGCTCTTATTATTATTATATTTATTGTCCATATAATAAAGTTATTAGATCTTTTAACGGAGCCTTTAATGTTATTCTAATAATTAATCGAACATTGTATGGGAAAAAAGATTTTTATAGAATATTTCTGCAATCGTTAAGTTTATCGCTGCTTGTTAACCTACTTCGTGTCTAATACGACTTCTAAACCCATTGTTTGCAGGAGCACGAGTTCAAGTGTTCAGGCCTGGTCGAGCGAACGGGATCGGAATGCAGCGCTGAACCCCAATGCCCGCATCCTTGTAAATGCGCTGATGGGATCGTCGATTGCAGAGAGAACTCCTTGACGAAAGTGCCAACCCACCTTCCCGAGGACACCACTGAGTTGTAAGTAAAACCGCCACGCCATGTTCGCGCATTGTATACCTGTTCTTCGTCTGAGATTTATTTCTCATTCGAGTATTATCGATAACGCGGATTGACTGAATTATAGTTCTTTCTCAAGTACACTTTATTTCCTTTCTTATTTGATACTTGTAGGTGTTGCACAGAAAATAATAAATTAATGTCATTACTTGTGTTTTTTAAATCCGCAATTTTATTTTTTAAAACATATACCCGCGTATATATACCCTCTTACAAATATACTTTATAAAGGTTGTTAATCAAATAATAATATTTGTGTAATAGAGTAATTTCGTATGAAAATGAAAGAGTGTAAAATGCGAAACACAAAGTAATACGTACAAGCAGAAATCGATCGATAACTTCGACTCGAACTTTATGAAACAACCACTAACGTGTAGATTCGTTAACTTATTTGTATAATTTGTTTTTTTCATAATTGCCCGCAGGCGGCTGGAGCAGAACGGCATTACGGAAATCCCACCCAAAGCTTTCTCACCATATAGGAAAATAAGAAGAATGTGAGTAATGTTCGTGACTGACTTGCTCTAATATGCTATCCACACATCGCTATTGCACACGTCGACCGCACGAAACATTTAATATTTTTATGTGTTTCTGGTTTTATACTCGCAGTGACCTGAGCAACAACCAGATAAAAAAGGTAGCAGCCGATGCTTTCCACGGATTGAAGTCCCTCGAATCCCTGTATGCATCTCTCTTTTTCTACTAATGCATTTTAAATAACATCCTACATATATTTTACGATAACACTAAATGATTATGTATTCTGTTGCAGAGTTCTATACGGCAACAAAATCACGGAGCTGCCAGCTGGTCTTTTCCAAGGCCTAACAAATTTGCAATTATTGTGAGTAGATAAGAAAACTTACGATTCGAAAAATAAAATTTGAAGCTAAAACGAATAATATGTAACATGAAAGAATCTTGTTAAACTTAATAAATTGGAAATTGGGGGGAAGTTGGGTAATTTTCTGTTGCATGACGCGAGGTCGACTTCAAGAAGGCAAGAATTAATAATTCATATTAGAATCACTAAAGAAAATGTTTTTATTCATGGCTTCACGTATTGTTCTTGCTTTTCTGTGAAGCATTGCAACGAGGCAACTGTTGGAAATTATGGCGAAACTTATTGTTTCAGGTTACTGAATGCCAATGAGATATCATGCATACGAACAGACCTGTTCAAAGACTTAACCAGTCTCACCTTACTGTCTCTATACGACAACAATATACGCTCGTTAGCTAATGGGACTTTTGCCAACCTGCGAAGCATTAAAACATTGTTCGTACTACAAATTGTTAATACAAAAATTCTTACAAACATTTTCTAATTTGCACTTGTGTACAAAAAAATCTTTTGTAATTGCGTTAATTAATGGAGATATTTCGTGCCGCATTTTAAATATCTCTATCCTAACTTGATTCTCTCTTCACAGACATTTGGCGAGGAATCCATTCATCTGCGATTGCAATCTACGCTGGCTGAGCGCGTATCTTCATGCGCATCCTATAGAGACATCCGGCGCTAAATGCGAAACGCCAAAAAGAGCGCAGAAACGGAAGATCGATTCGATGCGGGACGACAAGTTCAAATGTAAGGGTAAGCACGATTCGACTTTTCCGGTATATCTCTTCTTAACACTTCGGCAGAGTAATATACAGGTCGGTAGTCTATATGGAGGAAGATATATTATGCACGATGAATGTAAATAGGCTCCCCCCATTATCCGCTGACTTGCATTTACATTTCATGATATCATCAAATCTTCGTATTATCATACATGTATTTATATCCATATTCATATTCCGTTTGAAATTAATTATCTATTCTTGCATCGATACAATTTGTATAAATCTCTCTTTTGCCATTTGTCTTATTTCGGCTTTTAAAATTTCAAAAGTAACTTACCTCACAAATGGAAGATAATAGAAAACAAATGAAAGCAAATTAACATTTGTAAATTAATATTCATTCTTTTGCTAAGAAAGGATATATTGAAAGCCGATACCAATCCATTGAAATTGATCGATCGTGTCACTTTATTATTAATCACTCATGGCGCATGGCGTGCCACTTCCGGACGGTTTCCATTTTCACTCGTGCGAAATCACCCATCATTGTTCCCATTGCTTCTTGCATCACATATCCAGATACGTACGTCTTCTCCTTTCTCTTCGTCTCGATTCTTCTTCGTTCTTGTCGACACGTCCGGAACAGGTGACCAGTCGATCTATATATGTGCTCTCGGTAGGATAAATGCTGGTCACTTTGCCGGGCGCATATAATTGCCGATGGATGTATCTCGCTAACCGTAATACCGCCCGGTGTGCATTAATGTCAGCCGTTATTATATACATTCGCAGACACGCTAGCAAACCCGTTTGTGCTATAACTATAATCATTTATCGATATGAAATTGCATACAGACAATTGGCATATTGACATAAATAATCGTGCGTTTGAGCACGATGCATTTCTTAACATCTTACTTTTCCGTTAAAATGTATAATTTTTTGTTCAAATTTTATATTACGAATTTTTATACACGAAAGAAGATCGTAAAATAATATTTAAACGCATTTAAGATTTTTATAACATATAAAAATGTTGGATAAAGATAAGGAAATTATAATTTGTTCTGAATTTTAATTTCGATACTTTTTAAATTTAAGAAAATCAGCCAATTATATTTTAAATATGTTTTAACAATATCATAATAATGTCAGATTTATATTTTAATTAAAATCAATTTCTTCACATATATTATAACATCCTTCAAACACATGTATATATGTATAGAAAATTAGCATATTGACATAAATAATCATGTGTTTGAAGGATGTATTTCTTGATATTTTATTTTTCCATTAATATGTACAATTTTTATTTAAATTTTATATTCACAAAAGAAGATCATAAAATAATATTTAAACACATAAGTTATAACATATAAAAATGTTGAATAAAGATAAGGAAATTATAATTTATTCTCAGTTTTAATTTTGATATTTTTTAAATTTATGAAAATTAACCAATTATATTTTAACTTTTAATGTTATAACAATATCATAATAATGTCAGATTTATATTTTAATTAAAATTACTTATTTGTTCAGATATACCATCATTTATGCGAATGTATAATGCACTTATAATAGCGCGCTTATTATATTACAGTCCGTAAATTTTGACGTTCAGCTTCCGGAATTACAAGAATTCTATGTCTCTGTTATTTCTATCGCGGTCGTTTGCATTTGTCTTGTCTTTTTGCAACTTCGTAATTCTGGAGAAATTTATTGCAAGCATACGAATGTTCCACTGTAGAATGCATCTTTTATGACACATTTTTTGCTGAGCGATCCATGTTTGCCGTATCCGTTTGAGAATAATATCCAGAAGTCTCTAACCTTCCTTTACGCGGCCTCAAGTTTTATCCGGATGCATACTGCTCTCATACACTATACAATCCCGAAAAACATATGTATGTACAGCGCTATATGTACACACGATTATACAGAGATGAGATGCAAAAATTGAGCAGAACCGTCTTGCCTGTTAACATCTTGAATATCAAATAGTTGCACAGATAAACTTTATATAACATCGCAAAGGAAAGCTCTTTCGTGACTACATATTAATTAGTTTACGTGTAATAAAAAAGATAAAAAATTTAATATATTTGTATGTAATTAAACGCCAGAAGTTAATTGCATACTTTATACAGTACGTTCGAATATCACATTGTTAAAAACATTGTTGAAAATAGAAAATAGAAAATTTATTTGATAATAATATATACCGTATGTGTAATATACCGTATTGATTTATCTCGTGAATGAAGAAATAAGAAACAGATTGTTATATATTGCATATAACACGAAGTTAACATCAATAAAAAAACACCAATATCTACTACTTGCGACTTATCCCGTACACATTTACATGAAACTCAATTCAGAGTTAAGGAAAATAAACATCTCGGTAGCGCATATATGAATCTATGCCGGTATAAATGCGCATAACTGCAGGTGCAGTTCTACAAACAGGAACTTACGTAGCGACCGTAAAACTTGTAGAAAACTTTCGCAACTTGCATCCCCGGTCACGGCAAAAATTTTATACGGTTCCTTACTTCTGCATTACGAAGGATTTCGTGAAAATTAGGAGGAGAGTCCTTCTAGTTTTCGCAAAAGGAAACAAATGTTGCTCCTTAAGTAGCACTTCCATCCTAGAGTACATAAGAGTATTGGCAAAACGGAAGGTGGAAGAGGCAACGGAGAATAATCGATCAATTTTAACTTTATTTACTGGAACACGCAAATTCGCACTTTTCGTTTTATTATCTGTCTCACGTAAAACTCTCTCGCGAGCGTGTGAATATTCATGCAAAGTATAAACAGTGTTACAACAAAGTTGTTATATTTCTGTGATATATCTGTTTCTATATATATTTGTTACATTAATCTCCGGTAGAAAAATAAGCGAATATTTTTCTTTTAATTGATGTTATCGGCTACAGCTGATTTAATACGCAGTTTTATTCATTCAATGAAAAAACACGACGATAACAAAAAATAAAGAAATAAGAAACTAAAAAAAAAAAAATAAAAAAATAAAAGCACGCCAGCACGTTTATATCGAAGGAAAAGAAAAGTTCAACTCCCGATGACGTTAAACTTTCTAGTTTTCTTTTCTTGACCTCGATGAATAAAAATTGCCATTGTATTTCGACCACCGTGAAGAAAGCACAGTCGCTATGCTGGATGTTAGCCGGCATACATGTTGCAATGTGTATCGTCGATATAATTACGTATGCGTACATCACACCCGGCAATTTGTAATGTGGTGTATAATACGATGATAAATCATTTCTGTCGTAGTCGCACTCATACATAAACATATTTAGCCCTCAACACTAACGCACGACGTTAAACACTCGATTAACGTGCAAGTACATATGGCATCGCGCGTACCGGTGGTTCGTTTAACGACGCCATTAATTACACTGTTCATTATCAAAATTTATCGTTAATGAATCGACATCATCATCATCATTATGTTTACCATATAATTACGTCCAGCCGGCGTAATTTTCACGAAGAAACGCAATGTTCATTTGGCCGGGATGTCAAACGACGCTCTGCGCACGATGTATGTACATTACATATCTGCGTTTCTGTGTTCGGAGCAGAATCGCGCGATCGAGGTGCGGAAGTGTTGCTCAGGCGCGATCGTTGGAATTCGACTCTATCCCGAAACTTTGTCCGCAGGTGATGAGGAGCTGTTAACAAAAAGGGCCGGTGAATGCATTTTGCCTGGCGCTTGCCCCGCGCCGTGCACATGCAACGGCGCAACGGTCGATTGTTCCAACAAGAGATTAACTGCGATACCGAAGGACTTGCCGCTTTACACGTCGACTTTGTAAGTATACTTCTCTTAATTGGCACGTTAAACTACTACTGCACGGGAAAGCCAGGGAATGGACGCTCATATTGTTAATCCGATGCTAATCACCGATGCTATCAGAGTCCCGTCGATAAACTCCGTAAACTCTCTTTTATCATTGATGAATAATAAAGCATCGATAATGGATAATCTTGACAGGTGAAAGACGTGGCTTTCGTTAAAAAGCTTTCTCTAATAATATTTTACTTGTCGTTACATAGCCGAGCGAGGTACGTGGACGTGCAAAATGAGAAAACCGAAGGCAAACTCAATTTATGTCATACAGGATGTAGCAGCATCCGCAATATATTTCGTGCAGTTATGTTTGTCAGGCTGAATGCGTTTGCACCGCGAACATTTTTAGTATCTCCCGAAATACTATATGACATCGTGCTGATGAAGAGATAGTTAGTCGATCTAAAATAAGGAAGATGTTTCTACCAAAATATACTAAGCTTTCAATAATCGAATACTAAAGTATAGCATTTACTTTGCCAAGCGTTAAAGATATAATTAAGAAAGACAAGGCATTTTTTTAATAAATAATGAATAATAATCATACGTTATAATATTTAATAATCATGTTACTACACCTTTAGTAATTTCTATAAATAGTAAAAATATTTAATTTCCATTAAATCTATAACACAAAGCGCAATTCAAGTACAAATCTAAATAATCTAAAATCTAAATAACATTATTTTTACATAAACGTATACAATACAATAGATACATACATTTAGCTATAATTTTAGCGATATTAAGGAATGGGATTATGAAAGCAATTGATATCAACGATAAATACATCATAACCGGCATTAGCGCGAGTCATAATTATTTCCAATTAATGGTAATAGTTAGCATGCTAAACATACATACACACACCTGAATTAATAATCGCTAGTAAATGAATTACAGATTTGAAATTACAGAAATTGTAAAACAATGTAACGTCAAAAAAATCTCACATAATTCGAAAAAAAAAAACAAACTATAATCAATCGCATAATGAAAACGAGTAATGATGCTGAAAATAAATTTGTTGGCTCATTAGGAATAGATATGTTGTTTTGCAATTTCTGGTTTGCAATTAGTTACATTTTCGGTTTATAATGATTTTATAATTAGTTTACTTTAATGTAACATTTTGTTAGATAACATACATTTTACATTATTGTTCCATGAGAAAGTGTTCAGCTTCAAATTATCGAATATTGGACAAGCGATCGATCGTTCGGGACAGTCCAGTCGAGTGGTTAGGATGAATATCATTCGTCTGTAGAGAATTCTCGTCGCTCCGTTCGAATATTAATTCGATCGTTGAACCAGATAATCACCTGATTAAATTGTGGAGTGCGATTGGAAAAGAACAATGAAGATTGGACTATTATTCGCAGTAAATTACGCATCCGGCTCGTTCGATGGATCGACGCTTTATGAAAAAAAAAATTAATTTCTCGATACCATTCAATACTCGATATATCAGTTCTTATTCAAAGAAATCTACACGTACAACGAATTGATATTTTGCGAATATATATTTTCTCAGCTTTTATCTTTGCCACTTTGCTTTTTATTTAGACTTTACTTTTCAAGTTCTGTATCATCATGTATATTATACATATTAATACAAAATTTACCTATTTCTTTTACAATCAAACTTTTTTTTTATTTTTAAAACTGTTTCGGCGTACATTTGAAAATAAAACGGTGTGTGCCATTATTAATTGCTACAACGATTAAATTTAACAACAATTTTATTCCGTTTTATACGCAGAACATTTTTGTAGTCCGACATATCCCAAGTTAATAGTTTTATTCGAACGTTAGAGCGTATTAATTACGAACGAAGCAAAACAATCAACTGCAAGTTACACTATTGCTCGATATATATCGTACGAGAACATTCTGCAACGCACCAATTTCTGCACGAGAGTTATTCTGGCGTGCAATTCGCAAAATTTATTGAACGACGCATTGTTATAACGCGGTAGCGAATAAATTGCTCGGTGGATAGTCGAAAACAAGTGATGGAGTAACGAACGGAAAGTACCAATTTTGCATTTTTTTTTTGTTGTTCGAGCAGCAACTAACCGTTCATCGCATATCGCAAACATGCATGCATATTTCGACGATGCGATAGTCGCGACTTTGTTTTACATTTCGTTTCGCTTGTGTGTCGCGTCAGGTTGTTGAGCAACAATGAACTGGACAAGATTAAAGCAGATGGCCTTTTCGAGAAGCTGCCGGAACTGCAGCATCTGGATCTCAGGAAAAATAAAATCTCTCGCATCGAGGCGTCCGCCTTTCAAGGAGCTCACAACCTCACCGACCTGTAAGTCACAACGCGGATTCCGAATTATACCGCTTTCAGCGCAACCAGCTTCTTTTTTGCGATATTGTCGTCATCGTCGTCGTTGTCTTTCCGGAAAACTTCGCCTTTGCCAGCACAATAGAAGCCGTTCTAGAAGTACTGTTGTGTAACGCCAAGATTGTTTTCTTTGCGCGGCCTTCTAGTCGATATTTCCAACTTTAGAGAATCTCTCGGGGAATTTTCGAAGACCGCATTGTGTCCCCGGGGACAATTATTAAAACAATGCCGACGGTTTTTCATCAAAGACTTGAGCGGTACTTATAGTCTCTTTGTTTTATTTGATTGCGTGTCACGGCTTGGTAAATTTAACTACAATTAATTGTTACTTACAGATTGTTTAAGAGAAATTATAGAGTATGGTAAATATATAATTACTCTAATACCATAACAGTCCATCTATTTTATGAAAATTGTGTTCTAGTGCCATAAAAGTTAAATAACATACAAGATTTGAAACTACAATGCATTATTCATTTTCGTCATTTATATTGTATGCGATTTATAATCCAATATATGACAAAGATCGCAAATTTTTTATTGTTAGTAGCTGCAATTTTAAAGCACTCTGGATATTATTTTAGAGCCTCGAAACGCTTTTGGACGTTTAAAATTTAACGAATAAAAAACATTACACACCACGCGGTACTACTTTCAAAATGTCTTCGCGCTTGTTCATACCTTACATACGCCCGTTGGCTAAAGGAATGATATTTATCGACTCGTAAAAAGCGAATTGTAACATGACGCAACTTCGACGAAGCTCGCAATCTCTTTTCATTTCGCCGTGTTTCGCGCCTCGTTTCACGAAATGACGAGCTTTCTTTTCGCAGGCTTTTGTCCGAGAATAGGCTGCGAGAAGTGCACAACAAGATGTTCTCCGACCTACCGAGCCTTAAAACACTGTAAGTACCTCGTTGTGCCAACGTACCAACTATGCTGATAAAACGCTATCGTGCGGTAAACGATTACTCGCATAATTCACTCTGCGTAGGAATCTCCATGGTAATACCATTACATGCGTTATGCCGGGATCGTTCGATGGAATGCCGCACATACGCGCCATGTAAGTTCGCGAGTAATAAACGAGCCTCTATAACAAGATTAGTAGTGCACAGATATTGTGATTTATTAATAATAAATTTTCCTTTTAATTTTAAATTAAATTTTATATTTTAAATTATAAATTCTCTTCCAATTCTCTTCTAAATCTTTCTTCCAATTTTCTTTTCTGTTTTGTTCTGCATTAAAAAAAAATACAAGCAGCTACATGGCCTGGAAAATTTACGTTGTTATATCTCTAAAATAATTGTATATCAGTTATAATCAGAGTATAATCTTCGTGTTACTGCCTTCTTATTGTTACTATATTGTTTGATATATTTTTCGATATCTGCAGCAACATGCAAGGTAACCCGCTATCATGCAACTGCTATCTCGCGTGGTTCGCCGGATGGCTGAGGAAACGAGATATCGTTGGAATCACTGGTCGTTGTCACGATCCCTCGCGATTAAAGGATGCCATCATCAAGGACATTCCGCATCACGAATTCAAATGCAACAGTGCGTTTAATGCATTATTATTACCATTGAGCACCTGTAGTACCTATATAGATACATCTTGCTTTCACAATTTGTATCATTATATTCTGTGGTCGATCACTATGAATTCAAAATAGAGTGCAAATATAACATGTTCCATGAAATTGATAGCAACTTTACATACAAATTGCTTTGCCTATACATCAAACTGAAAATCAATGTAACTTATCGGCGAGATCTGAAATTTGCGAACAACGCGTGTTTTGTGCTCTTGATTCACGTGTCGTCCGCAATGAAAAGAATTTCACGAATAAGTCAATCGCTTTTGCCTCCGTCATCTGCTTTGACGAAAATAATATTCGCAATTTGAATTGCAAATCCTGTTAACGATCCACCAACTATTTTACACCCATCAGACGACAGCGTGGGTTGCCTAGGCGACGATTACTGCCCGCCTCAATGTAATTGCGCGGGTTCGGTGGTGAGATGTTCGAGGTCTCAGCTTACAGAGATTCCACGCGGGATTCCACCGGAAACCACCGAGCTGTATTTGGACGTGAACGACATCAAGACGATCCAGCCGGAGAGGCTGAACCACCTGAGGATTCTCACCAGACTGTAAATAAAACACGCGTGCACCTTCCGTATATCTTTCAAGCGGCTTTCGCCATGTTTAACGTCCGCTTCGTTTTCAGGGATCTGAGCAACAACCAGATCGGAATGCTGTCCAACGATACCTTCAGGAATCTCACGAAGCTCTCGCACCTGTAAGTCGAATATTTACTCCGCTATCCCGACAAGTTCTCGGAAGAATTTCGCGAAACAAAATTTGCATAACGTACGACATACAAATCTTTTTTGCAGAATCATCAGTTACAATAAGCTGCAGTGCGTGCAACGAAATGCTCTCGCGGGATTAAAGAACCTGCGAATAATGTGAGTCACGTGTGCAAATACTCGACTAACGTTATCATTGTGGCATGCTTCTTTTATTGCACACAATGATAGCATTTTCTAAGCTTTCGTATTCCATTTGCATGATTGGCAATTAAATATTCACAGTTCTTAAACTATTACATGTTTAAACTATTTAATGATTGTTACTTAACAAATCTGTTAACTAAAAGAGAAAGCAAATATGATAACATCAAAAACCAAATAAAACCAAATTATAAAATTAAATAAATATATAAATTCTAATTGTGCAATAAAAATGTTAATTATGAAAATAAAATTATGTCAATTATGAAAATTTTAAATAATTAATATATTTATAAGTTAATATTTGTGATATTTAGATTTCTGTGTAAAATGACAAATTTAGACTTTTTTTGTACTGATATTATAAATATTTTGCTATAATTTAATTGCCTCTCCTAGTTCGCTGCATGGCAACGACATATCGGTCATCCCAGAGGGAGCATTCGAGGATCTCAAGTCTATAACACATCTGTGAGTATCACTCTGTCTTCGTAAACCACACGCACTCGATTTTCGATCCTGGCCATTTATCGATCACGATGTTTACAGCGCCCTAGGGTCCAACCCGCTTTACTGCGATTGCAGCATGCGATGGTTGGCCGAATGGGTGAAGAAAGACTACGTGGAGCCTGGCATAGCCAGGTGCATGGAACCTCCTGCGATGAGAGACAAATTGCTCTTGACGACGCCGGCTAGTGCCTTTCAATGCAAAAGTAAATATCTCATAAGCATATATTTCGATTGCGGACAGAATGGCCAAGAGAACTTTTGCTAAGTAAATTAATTGCTAAACCGCGAACGGTGTGGCTTAATATGTATACTTTGTTGATGAAGTAATATAAAACTGCGCGATCGCCTTCACGCCGCAATCCCGCCTTCGTTTCTTTCATCTTAGATATTCATTAACATTCATTACCACTCAATAGAATATTTACCATTGAAATCGGAAATGCAGATCATTATCCTCGATAATGACTTTGCTGTAAAACGGGTCATTGAACATCGATTTTCCATTAGACATAAAACGTAACAAGACTTTTTCTTTTCCTTAACGACGTTTAGTATTTCGACGCGGCTCTCGTAGTCTCCCGTAAGAAGCTAGAAAGAGCTCCTTACTCCGGCGCTTGGCCATTACTGATCCGCAATCGGTTACTGATTGTCGCACGTGACGGTGTTTTTGATTTTTCGTAGTACAGCGCGACGCAGTCTGTTTAGTTCGTGGTTTTTTGGCCCAGCATCACGGTAGGGTACTAAAATTGCTCATTAATCGTAGACCTTTCTTCCGCGCAGCCAAGCAGCAGCCAGCCGAAGTCTTGGCCAAGTGCGACCTGTGTTACACCTCGCCATGCGAAAACGGAGGATTTTGTGAGGCGCTTCCGGACCGGCAGTTCCGTTGCAAGTGCACGCCAGGATATCACGGGGACCGGTGTCAGCATAAAATTGACGCGTGCTATGGAAATCCTTGCAGGAACTCCGGAACTTGCAAAGTACTGGAGGAAGGAAGATTCAGGTACTTACTGAACGCGACAGTCCGACCTTGATCAGAGTAGTGGCTCGTCGGGCTGACTTTAAAGTTGCTCGTTCAGTGGAACCCGTAGAGCGTTTGCAATAGCATCGTATCGTATCGTATCTAGGCAAAACTTCTTTCGAGCGTCTCGCAGTCCTTTTTCCCCCTCTTACATCAGTGTCTCGCTTAAAATTTCACGAATTTTCTTACAAAATTACGTAACACTTTTACAAATACGCGATCAAACGCATTAACTTAATCGAGCCTCTTACTTGTTTTTTATTAGTTTAATTACTGTCTTAAGAAAAAAATTGTAATTATTGTAATAACATTGTTAATATGGAATCTTTTATATAAAGGCTTATATTCTTAAGGCAGTAATTTTAGATTTATTAGAAGCAAGAATCTTACTTTGACATCAAATTAAAAGTATTTAAATTGGTATAATTAGATGATCACATAATTGGAAAGTATCGATATTATTTTAATAATAATATCGTGTGTATTATATTAGTAGAACATGCACGTTGCGAAAATTATTTCGCGTATGCCAAGTAGTTCTTTGAGACGTATTTATCTAGACATTAAAGTAGACATAAATATGCACGATAAAGGATGCTTAATATAGACGGATAGAACGTTGCATTTTGAAGCTTGAATTTGACAATAAATTGTAGAAATGCAACAAAAAAAAAGTCATCTCTTTGAGTTGCTATGCTATTTTGACAACTTCGACGCGCCATGCTGCTTAAAGTGGTGCCCAAAGTGGACTACGATCGGAACGTTCGTCAAATTCGAGCTCTCAACACGCGTAATAAACGGGACCCTCTGCACGTGAGCCCCGAGGAGTGACGACTGCAGGCTATAAACTGCCGACGGTGCTGTCAATAATCTGCTCATAACAGAGAGGCTGTTGCGATTATTGAAAAATCGAAGGGCCAAACTTACTACGCGCCAGCTATTTTCGCTAAGCATATATATATATATATATATCAGATCGAAGCACATTTGCCTAAGATTCCGAGCAAAATTCTCCTTTATTGAGCAATATTAAGAAACAATTACGTAGTTTCAAATTAATAATAATAAATTATAAATATCTGTTAATAATATAATAACTATTTAACTATTTCAATTAAATAAATTTAGTCTAAAGTATATAATACATGCAACTCCTTAACTTCTTTTAAGGACCAACACATTATATAAATTCTTCTTTTGAAATTTTTTCTTTTAGACATCTCACAGTACAAACATTTAGTTGCCAAATTTAAATTCATATAAACATGTGGAAAAAAAAGAAAAAAGAGAGGAGCAGTGTCGGCGGTTTATCGCCGTAGGATACCTTTGGCGGATTTACCGCGATCGCATGTCGGGCTCAATGTCTCGATTGACGTTCAGTCGGTGTGTGACAGTTGCGACTGCGCCCCCGGGTACAAGGGACTTCGATGTGAGAGCAACGTCGACGACTGTGCCAACAACAGGTGCGCTAACAACGCAACCTGCGTCGACCTCGTACAGGCCTATCGATGCGACTGCGCCCCAGGATTCATGGGAGAATACTGCGAGGAGAAGATACCCTTTTGCACAAAGGGGCACGACCCCTGCGAGAACGGAGGCCGATGCGTCGACCATAAGACCCACTACAGCTGCGAATGCCCAGTCGGCTTCACCGGCCTCAATTGTTCCACAAACTTGGATGACTGTGTCGATCATATGTGCCAGGTACGTGCGTGACGCCTTTCAATAATCGTTAACTGCATTCCATCGTTCGCGTGAAAATCGACCGCCATGGATTTGTTTCTTCCAAGCGAAACTACGCGATATACCAAGGCGTGATACTTCCTAGTTTTCTTGTGCAGCAAAGTTATCGCACATAGGAAAGAGAAATATAATAATTACCCCCAAAATCACAAGCTTTGTCGCGGTAGCGACATATATCGATTCTATACCTGTGCATTGGGAATAATTTACTAAAAGTATGTAATTTCGTGCGCTATATATAAACCTTTTGCTTTAACATAACGCACGCGACAAAAGTTGACGAATTAAATCTTCTATTAACCGATATATTTCCGCGTTAATGTTTAATACTAAACGATATCTTTTATTTTTTTAATATTTGTATATATTATTTTATTATTTATCACGATGAGCAACATTTTGTTAAATATTTTCAGTTTTTATAATAGCAAATTTTATAAGTATCGTAATAAAGATTTTTATAATGCACTTTTAAAATTCTAAGTACTAACATTTATAAATATAACATCTACAATACTATTGTTGGGTGTAAAATTCATTAAAATAATTACATAGTTACCGTGGAAATCGCGTGCAGGGGCGCACCTATCTACACGAAGTCGATGATATCTGTTTCATTTACAGCATATCATAGAAATTTATTTTCTCATATCGCTCGCAGTTGCGACAATCGCAATTAATTTCTAGCTGCTGAACCAGCAGTTCACCTTTACATTCGTAACAATTGTAATAAAATTGCATTTTATTCTGGAATATTTTAATTTTAAGACTACTAGATATTTTCTTACTTTATAATTTTTTTACTTTTGAATTACGTATACTTTACGTTTATTGATAAATTCAACACACCGACGTAACTCTTTGCATTTTATTCCAAGAAATATTTTTCGGTTGAATCACTTAACTTAGTATCGATTTAATTCGATACAGTATCTACATGAAAACTCAAACTCAGCGACATAACTTGACTTGCATGAGAGCCAAACTTTTATTTGACTATCGACTCTTAAATAGAACCCCAACCCAACAGATATGATCTTCCGAGAGGAAGAAACTTTACAATCACGAAGATCCACGATCCAGAAGCAAAGTTGGCGTATGAAATTTTACTCGAAGATTCTTCTTCGCGGTATTATAACGCCGGTCAAATTTCATCTGCGTGTTTGCGCGAGTAACAGAAAGCTCGTGTGGAGTTTTCGGCTTTGTGGTACTAGCTCTAAAGCCACGATAGTATATCACGTTCCAAGCTTCCTAAAGCTTCCGTGAATGGTACGGAATTGACCTACAGACGCTGTTCTCCTATGAATCTTCCATTTCCATATACTGGACACGTCCTACACATAACTAAAACGACTTAATACTTATATTTTGAAATGCATTTTACATATCGAATTAATTGAAAGACTTATGACGCGTTAATAATTTTAATAATAATTATTTTGATTAACGCATTCAGATTGTTATGTTGTTTATGATTAACGTATTCAAATTATTATATTGCATAATGATGTTGAATATCCCACATTGCTTTCATTCAAATAGGATTTAGGATTTAACCATTGATAAGATTAGCACGTGTAACTCGCAGGGGGGATATATTATTGTACATATGTGACTTAAGCCCCAGAATACATGGCCTCCAGTTTGAGACTCTAGACTAGGCATGTGAAACTGGCGGACCGCTCGATGATTTGTAACCCTCTGCTAGTAGTTAGTTGCATCCACAGTTTGTGCGCGTTCCTATCTTATCCGTAAACTTACTGGCAGACATTAATTAGGCTACATTAGAACTGCATTGACATTAAAATTATTACTTTTATTTAATTTCCTTTTCGTTACATCGTGTTTCTTATACGATAATCTCAAGAAATCTCTTGGATTTTAATTATAAAATGTAACTGATAAAAATTAGTATAAATATCTTGTTGTTACTTTATATATATAATACTAATATTTTACCAATAAAATTGTATATACAAATTGTCCTGGGAGTTAATCGACAAACTACAGAAGCATATTCTACAAGTGGAGATAAGAAAAAAATATTATATGAGGTTTGACCAGAAATTTTTTATTATAGAGATTTTATTAATAAATAATTGAAATGGAATATTAAATAGGCAACAAAGGATTTTCCAATGCGCAGGACATTAAGCAGAAATTACGCATTTTAAAATGTTGTCCTTGCATGACGATACAAGCTTGACATCGATATAATTCAGAACTTATTACAATACAAATTTCCTGGAAATTTTGTTATATTGTCGATAATTGAATTATTAATTCGATGCATTTTTTTTCTCAGAAAATTTCAAGCTTGTCAAGCTTGCATTTTTGTGCAAGGACAACATTTTGAACAATTTTGAACATACTAAATAATTCCATTAATATCTTGCACATTGGAAAATCCTTTATTACTCAATTAATATTCCGTCTCAATATCATTGTTTATAACTTTGTAATAAACAATTTCTGGCCAAACTTTATATTATATATATTTATATCGTGAAATTATTCGGAATGGAATTATTGATTGAAATTATTTCGTATTTTCTAAAAAAGACAAAAATCTAGGAAATAAATGAACAATTCCAATTCGAATATATTTCTGAACACTCTATCTATAATATATTTTAATTTCTTATCGTAAAAACGTTTTAAAAATTGCTTAATAAGAATACACTGTTACTAATTAAGTCGCTCTTTTCTTACTTTTAATTTAAAATGTTGATCGACAAACACTTTTGCGAAATGTAATTTAATTGTTTTGCAGAACGGTGCTACTTGCATTGACGGCATAAACAATTATGAATGTAAGTGCGCGGCGGAGTATACTGGGAGGTACTGCGAGGCTGCACCCTCGACAGCCATGCTGTATCCACAGACAAGTCCGTGTGCCCACCACGACTGTCAGCATGGTGCCTGCTTCCAGCCCGCTCCCGCCTCCGCCGCGGACTATCTTTGCCAGTGCCACCCCGGCTACACCGGTGAGTAAAGTAAAGAACAAGATTTTGAAAGTCGTTGCCTTCTTAAACGTCTTTTTAATAATTATTCAATCTTGATATCATGTTTTTTAAAGCTCGACAATCTTCTATATTATCGCTTGCATGTTACGTGTGACGTTTTGGAAAATGAGCTATTTAACATGGATATGACCATCTATCATTTCAGGAAAACGATGCGAGTACCTGACGAGTCTGAGCTTCGTGGACAATAGCTCGCTGGTCGAGCTGGAACCGCTACGCACGAGGCCCGAGGCAAATGTGACCATCATATTCACGACCACGCAGGAAAACGGGGTTCTTCTCTATGACGGGCAAAACGACGGGCACATCGCCGTCGAGCTCTTTAATGGGCGGGTCAGGGTTTCGTACGACGTGGGTAATTATCCTACCTCGACGATGTACAGCTACGAGATGGTGGCCGATGGCAAGTCTCACATGGCGGAGCTTCTGGCGATCAAGAAAAATTTCACAATGAGGGTCGACCGAGGTCCCGCCAGGAGCATCATCAACGAGGGTCCGAAGGAATACCTCAAGCTTGTCACGCCAATGTACGTCGGTGGCGTAGCGCCGGAAGTTGCTAAAGTCGCATTTACCGAGTTTCACCTCAGAAACATTACGAGCTTCCAAGGTAAGTTTCTCTCTCGTGACGCTGAGAGATATTGTTGAGATTAGTGGCACTCTTTGTATCATTTTTATTGCTTCAATAAGTTATCGACAAAAAAGTGCCGTATGATTATGAAAAAAAACAGGGCAGTTTTACTAAGAGAAGCTTGAATTTTACAAAGAAAAAGGATTCAGATAAAGCGAATACTTAATTCTTTAAATTGGCCGGATAATTAGTTAAATAATAATATCTATTATATTGAATTTATTAATTTTACATTATGTTTAGCTAATCGTAAATGGAACGATTATAATAATGTTATAATGAAACCGTTCGGTTGGAAATTTCAAAGATTTCACAGATGATTTGTGCTCTCCACCACTGCTAGTTCCAACATTAACGATACTCTGCGGTTTCTCTGGGGAAACGATAGTTGTCGCAAACTCGGAATATCAGCCGCAAATTTGCAACTTGCGGAGACCTCATTTAATATTCGGTTACATTTTTGATGTCCCCCGGCGCAATACTGATTTACTACGTTTGCATATAGTGTATGAAATAATATAGTAGCGCGATATGTATATTCGAGAGAAGCTAGATTTGAAAAGTTTCACGACAATGCGACACACGAAAATTCGTGATCACGCTGCATTATGTAGCATATAATTCGTATCATAGTTGTTTCTGAACTTCCCGTGATAGGAAGGTTATTTTATTAGTGAAAGTATATCATCGATGTCAATCATTCAGGTTGCGCGTGATGACGTAGTCTCTTATGAGAATTTATGCAGGCGCAAACACATGCTTTACGCCGTTACTCAATTGCATTGTAACGTTCGGTACACATTCCCATGTTGCCACTCTTTATAGGATAGAGCAAAAGTTTCTCCCTCGCCAGATCCATTAAAAGTTTCCTTGCTTTATCTCAGGCTGCATCTCCGAGATGTGGATCAATCATAAGTTGGTAGACTTCAGCAACGCCGCAAAGATGCATCGCGTTACTCCCGGATGTGCTGCTAGCGAAGAGGAGGCCGATGAAGCGAGAGATATTGTTGAAGCCGAGGGAATTAACAATAGTGGCAGTAACGAGGAGTCTATGCCGCAAGAGCATATACCTCGCGAACATTCTGGTATGTTAATGTAATTGCTGTTTAGTCAACTTGTTAAGTTATGGATCACATCTGTGCGTAAATTTATACAACTAAAAATATTCGAAACTGTCGACAAATTTATGCCAGCATTGGCATAAATATTTAAGAAAATTTTATTGTTCCATTTAATAATCGATTATAATTTTTTAATATAATTGTAACACAGGTCAACGTAATGATAATATCCTTAAATTATATCGTATACCTAACATAAAGAATCGCATATTAAATTGATTTGAAGAGATAAGAGATAAGAGAAATTATCTTATAATTCAAATTTTTTTAGATTGTCGATATATATTCATGATAAAAAATAATATGTATTAATTGTAGACGTTATAATATCGGTAACTGGATTGGTGCCTTCTCACGCATGTATCGGACATGAGTGCAGAAAAGGATCTCAATGCATACCGTCGCCATTTGGCAATAGCTATTCTTGTCGATGTCAAACTGGCTGGCAAGGACGATACTGCGAGAAAGGTAATTCTTTTTTCTTCAATATTATTATATACTCGTGTGTAAAAATACGATATATGAATATGTATTTATTATAAAATAATGCAAACTACTCACATTCTTATCAAATTACAGATATTTTTTATTAATTAATATATCGATGTAGTATGTAATAAACTTGTAATATCACATGCTTCTTTGCTCAATTGCTCTCGATAAAAAGTTAACATCGATGTCGCAGCACCGACGTGTCGCAAGGAGCATACCAGGGAGTACTATAGCGAGAATGGATGTCGGAGTCGACGACCCGTGAAGCTTGCTAAATGTTGGGGAAGTTGCGGCAATTCCTGCTGTTTACCGCGGAAGACTAAGCGGCGCAAGGTACATCGAATATCTGTATATCGACCAGGACTCGCGAATGATCCGGTTTTCCGCAGAACAATGCGTTAATTCTATCGTATAATTTTCAATTGTCGAGGGACATTCCCTCCCTGCCTAACGTTAAATTTCGAGGTAAATTAATATTGCAATCAACATTTACATGTTATGAGAGCTATTAACTCTATTTTCTCGGTTGACAACATAGGGAGATGAATATTAAAACCCGTACCGCTCTTGTTCTTGTGGGCATCAAATGCCGCGTCAGTCACGGCGACCGGACGCCGGAAACAAGATGAACTATCGCATCTTCGCAAAGTGATCGATCGCGCATAAATAGCTCGAAGCAACCGCGTCAATTACCGCAATTATGTTCATCGAGCACCGGCCGATGACTCCCCCGCCGTTATTTGCCGATAACGATCGTGTATGTGGCCATTATAAACAATTATGTATTAATTTCAGGTCCGATTAATTTGCGCGGACGGCATGCGGTACACTAAGGACGTTGACCTGGTGCGTAAGTGCACGTGTACCCGCAAATGTTACTAGCCAGTCGACGCATCGCGGCCCGAGTCTCACCGGCGCGCGTCGAGACGTAAAACGAGACCGAGAAGAAACCCCCGGATCCGAAGCGGCACTCCCGCGCGTGCTTCCACGTGCCTTCGGAGGTGACGAAGGGAACGGCAACGGGGTGGCGAGGGCGAACGCCGCGCGAGACGGGCCCTCGGCATCCCTGTGCGAGACCACCATCGCGAGACGCACGTGGGCGAGAAAGTGCGTGAGGAAGTGCAGGCCAAAACTAGATGGACACACACACATAGCCGGCTCAGTGTGATATGTATTATTAAAAGAAAAAAAGAGAGCGAAAGCGAGAGAAAGAGAGAAAGAGAGCGAGAGAAAGAAAGAAGAAGCAAGAGTATATTGTACGTATATATAGCTACGGACTATCGATATCGAAGCAGTTAAACGTATACTAGGTATTATTCGTATATATAATGACCCGATATAGGTATATAACGACGAGAACGCGGAACGGACGCGGGCGGAAGGAAGGGTGGCGCGAGCGCACGCGGACAATGTGTCCGTATATTTGCGATCACGGACCGCGCACGCGGGCGCTTGCGTGTTCGTAATGTTACGCACGAGTGCGTACGATTACGCCGTTGATTTAGCGCGGAATGGACCTAACTGGTAATAGGGGATTCGCGGCTGCGTGCAAACAGGCTTCCGTAATCTTCTTATGGGATATATACGCGTCGCTTTTTGTTTAACACGCTTCCGCCGGCGGCGGTTGTAATCTCCGTTGAGCCAAGTTTCGATGCAAACACCTATAATATATTCTCTATCTTTCGAAAATTATTATTCAAAAACGCGTTATTATTTTTTTTTTTTTTACAACCAAGATATTTGAACGTATCGTAATTAATATTGTATCTGAAATTAATCGTAAAGCAATACACTTTTGCGCTAGTTACAAGATTAATTATCCATCTTTTGAATTAAATTTATTATTCGACGGCTGCTTGCATTTCTATGAAATTATGTTACTTTGATAATAGAGATTAGTGACAATCGCAATTTCTCGGGCAGAGTTTGTTTCCGCGATCGACCGCGAAGCCTGAATCCACGTTAGGTCTATCTTTCCTACAGTGAATTTTTACACTAAACGCGAATCTTCGATCGCATAGCTATTTCTACCCACTGAGCAATGGTCTTTGAATTTTTGCAAGAGAAGCTCTACAAATATGAAATGTGAAAAATAACGAAAGAGATGTTTGTGAGAATGGCGTGAATGACTGCAATACTTTTTCGCTGCAGATTGTTTGGTTTCGATACACTTGGTTTGGCTACAATACACACGCGAGCAATATCGTCGTAGCCAGTAAAATTGAACGAAAACGGAGGCAATAGGAAAATGCCGGTGTGTTTCTTGCCTTTTTCATCAATCTAATTGCAGTGCTGCTGATTTAGCGTTCCAACTATCACTTTAACTGCACAATCCTTAGCTAGTATGGATATTAGGCCGCTTGTAAATCGTAAAGAACACGATAATCAGAGGACAAGCAGTTACGCCATTAAAGAGTTGACATATAGCGTCACAAGTATTCGAATAGATCACAAGTAAGTGTCTAATTAAATGTAAAATATATATTTTAAACATAGAAGAAACTTAATTGAAAGTAAGCCGTCAACGTCTTCTTGCCTCACCTCACCGACAGCAGCAGCAGTGGGAATGCAGCTTTATTTTTGAAAAAGCCAAGAAATCGCACCGCGATCGAAATCACCGAGACGGAGACTGCATCGCGAGTTTCGGACGATGCGCTTCGGAAATCTTTCACTTTACGGCCTAATATTAGAGTTCCGAGATACAGGATGCAGTCAATCGGTTGCACGAAGCGAAGGGGGATTCGCGTACGAACGTTCGGATCGATGCGGCAGAGGATAATAGGAAAACGAATTATGGAGGAGCGAAGCAAGGCGCGCGTATTAACGTTTGGTCAGCCGATCGCGGAAACAGATGTAACTATATAGGTCGAAGAAATTATTTCGGTTAATATCCGAAACGGAATTCACCGATGCAAAAAACCGCGTATTATTTTTGTATAAGCGCATTATTTATATATACCTAAGCTAATTTGCTATTAGTTTAATCAAGGAGCGTTCAATTCGTTCGTACTACTTAAGCCTCTATTAACGTATGGCGTGTCACGTACCTATTCTAGATTTATTTATACGTCTATCTATTTTATCCCTCGAAAACTGTATCGCATCTTCCACTGCCAGTATTTATACGTATTTATTCCGTTTCCTTGTTTCAACGATATTTATATTAAACTGCTTCTTTAAACATACACACTCAACTTAGAGGACGAACGAATATCTCTCGACGTGCTTCACTATCATCCTCTTTACGATTTCGACGCGATCTTGCCGCCTAGGCGTGCGCCTCGTGAGAAAGTACCAATTGTAGGATTTATATAGACATAGCTTCTGACCGTTAAACATTTAACGGTTACACGATTGAAGCGTATCTTTTAGAGTTTTGTCTCGAAATTCACTGCCACGCATGACTGCCAAGCTTGACAATTGTCACGCTACTAATTACTCAATTTTTGACCATACGAAAGTGTGATGATTTTCTCTATTTAAAATGCAGAACTTTCGACACCTTTTTATTTAGCTTCAATTGATTTTATTTAATTTCAGGAAGATTTCTTGGAAGATATATTTATTTTTATTCCTGCTAAAAGTATAGACAAATAGTGCAGAATAATATAGATCGTAAACGTATACACGCGCACGATAAGATATCCAGCTATTGATAGGCAGGGCCGAGGATCGTTATTTATCTTCACATTTCTTTCTCTATCGTAAAACAAAAAGTAGATGTATCCTGATCATATATAAATATGATATGAAATATGATTTTCTAGTATTAATAGTCATATAAGTTCTCTACGCTATTTTTTACGTTTATAAATGACTTGGTAATGTATTAATAGTCCTATCTGAACGAATGTCTGCGAAACTTGAAGCTAATGCTGGTCGGGAAAGAACAATTTTTGTATTACGATTCTGTACATTTGATCCAACGAAATGCAAATAAATATACGCAAGCCAGCATACGTTTATTCATCGTGTATGTATTGATAATCCATCGCAATATATTTAAGCATTTATATTATCTTTAATATGCGCTTCGCATTTAGCATTAAAGTGCAAAGTTGCAAAAAACTAATATCATCACAGATCGAAAGTCACACTATATTTTACTCTAAGCATAATTTGCACAAGTAACTTTCCTTCATTTATATAAACAAATAACGTTATCTATCAGCTGGAAAATATTAACTGATTCAGCGCTTAAATGCAGAATTATTTCATAATTTTATATTACCGTAAGTAAATCCGTACGTTTAACATGTTAATGTCACATAAAATCGTAATACAAAGAAATATATGGCATTTATCATGAACTATGCATCTATATTGGACAATAATAAAAGATAATGCTCGTAATATCGTAATATATTTATATTTCCATGACATGCGTCTGGAATTTCTGCAGCTCGTATTTGTGTATTTATTTGACAAGAATATTTAACATATTTTATGATCGATGGGCCGGCGCATGCGATCGAGGCGCATACCATTTGGCTTTTATTCTCTCGCAGCGAACACTTTTACCATCGAGTTATCGAATCACACGCTTCGAGGCACACGCATGACTCAATTCTCCTAGACATTAGCAACAAGAGCGAAATCTTTTTTTTGACTTTACAGAGGGACATTTTTCGCAAGAAACGTCTCTTCGAAATTGAGTTGTATGTTGAATTTTCTTATCACGCGCAACATTCAAATCATCCGCACAAAGCGAAGACATTTATCACACAATTCTATAATTTATGATTCTAAAACTTCAATTGCAATTGTAACGATAAAAAATATGTAGATATCAACATTTTTTAAGATTCCGCGATAAAAATCAAGGAAATTATTTTATTGTGCGTAAATTCACTACGAGAATTTAATCACATGATCAAAGAAAGTTATATAATCAAAGGAGATTTAATAGTAGATAATGAGAATTAAAGAAAAATGTTACTAAGCTATCTCAGGATTGGACAAATTTCCGAATAGTACTGAAACGTAATATTTATTAACACATAAATTGTTTATTCCTAATAAGTAAGTTTGTAAAAATTATATTGTATATCCTAGATTAGACATCGCGAATCGAATTTTCAATGCACTTTCATGCTAAATGTGACTGTCTGCTCTTCTATTTCAATACCAGAAGCATAGAAGTACAGAAAGATAATATATAATCGTACATGCTATATTTTGAGCTTGCTATATTTAAGTATCGATAATTTCGATTACACAAATATAAAACTATGTTATAATGTATATAATAGATATATATGAAAATAATTTCTTTTTAAAGATTTTTTTATATATACAAATTTTTTATTATATTTAGTTAGTTTAAACGTTTCTTAGGGAACTTATATGAACAAAAATTGGCATAACATTCCATGTTCAGACACTAATTAATTAAAGAGAGCAGTTGTTTTATTTAAATATTAATATTCTAAACAAAATCTTTAATATAAATTTACGGGATAATTATATATAAAAAATATTTCTAAAAATATAATATAATATTAAAATTATTATTATTATTTATTTCATGCATATTTTATTTAATTAATATAAAATAATATAAAAATATATTATAATTTTAGAAATATTAAAAATATCTCTTTAAAAATAATGCTTGTTTATACTTGCATATTTCAAATTTAATTTCATCGGCTCTGCGGATTTTAAAAATTATCTACATTATTTTTCAGTATATTGCAATTTTAAGTTTATTTTCGATTTACAAAATTTCGTTATGATATACCAATAATAGTCTGACACTTCTCCTTTTTTAACGAATAATGTCATTTTAGAATGTCTTCAACAATAATGTTTCTGAAATGAAGGCGTGAATTGACGAGAGAATAAATGAATTGTGTGAAAGAGATTATGAGAAAGTGTAAGCGTCAATGGATACAATATGTTGTTTGAGAGATGTTTCGAATGAGTATGATGAGATATAACGGAGCGCGCAAGGCAATGAGTATAAATGTGTTTATCGCGCAAGCACATTTTACCAAATAAAACAATGGAATACTGCATGCCTAGAAGTACTCTAGCTGTATACTGTAGGTATATTAAATTAGATTATTAGCGTAAAGCGCAAAATGTCTATGTTTATATGATGTAACAAATTCTCGAAATATATGAACGCTATTAAATAAACGAATGTGAAGTTTAACAGATATTTTACTATTAATGCTGCCATGCTTTACATGAAAATTGAGGATGAAATATGTATTTATCACAAGTACATTACAATGTACATGTACATAATTAAAGAAATTTCATCTTGCATACTAATAAAATATAAATTTTCCCTCTGTTTATTGTTTACTGTAAAAATATTTGAATACATTTTATTGGTATTTTAATCAAAAAATTTCAATAAAAATGTTTTCATTCTGGATGAAATCTAAATAAACTTCTCATATTATTTGTTTGTATATTTATGCATTGTTATTTATGTATTATTATTAAATTTGTTATTAAATGTCTGCATTAAAAATCATTCTTATAAAATTAAAAATTAAATTAAAAATTAAATAATATATATTACTACAATGTTATAATAAACATTATCTAGGTATGGTATATTCTTAGATAAAAATAATACTCAACTCTGTAGTGACTAATTCCAGAGAGAAACCTAAGAGCATTCTGACCTTTTCCGAGGGATAGTCCTCTGTACACTACCGCCATCATTACATTTTTCTTGTGAATTTGGAACTACGTCGCTACATTCATTTTTCGACACTGCCGATAAAATTGATGTGCGTCCGTGCTTCACAATTCACTATTCAAAAATATGCCCTGCCTTCACCGGACGTAACAGAGACGTACTATTTTTGTCGCAAAGTCGCAGAAATTGTGATACGTCTCTCGCACGTCGTCGTGACAAAACATAAATAACTTTACTGTTTTAATTAAAACAGTCTTCTGTTTGCCAGATTTTCTATAATGCCACAGTTTAATATATTAAAGATAAATAATATTTTATTATGTTATTTGTTATTTTAATGAAATTTTGACGTCTACTGTTATGATAACATTGTAATTTTTTAATACTATATTGTCAAACAAATGGAAATTATAGTATTTGTTTATAGTATTTGTATCATTTTCATCAGTGGAATTTAATGTTTGAATCTTCAATAATGAAATCCATAAATCAATGTTAAATTATCATATAATAACAATTTTATAAATTATATTTAAATTTAATATTCTGCCCTAGACAAATTTTTGAGATTTGTAGTAATGTTTCCTCATCAGAAAACATGTAAACAAAAAAAAATTAGAAATTAAATTTTTCGTAAGATTTAAAGAGTCACTATATTGATCGTTATTAAAATACAATCAACGCAAAGAAATCAAAAATTTTTTATTACAATTGTGGATACACATGTTATTTACGTTAATTACATCGATTTAACTATTGTTGTGTAAATAATGTAAAACATTTATAATATTTGAATGTTTAATTAAATATGTTCAAAGTTTAATTTTTGGCAAGTTTTTCTATAATACAAGTTACATTGTTTAAAAGAATATCTTTGATATAATAAAAATGTCCACAATCTATGTTTCTATTTACATATTTAAGAAATAACATATACTATTGCTGGGAATTAATTCCATATATTAAAATAAATAGATATTTTAGAGAATTTATAATAGAAAGTCGCAAATAATATTTACTAAAGTAATATCTTTAAAATTTATTAAAAGTAATATCTTTAACAAACAATGCTTTCGATTCGACATAATGTTATACGATTAATAATTATATCATCAATTATGAGAAACATCATAATAAATACACAATATCCACTAAACAATTCTTCTATAGTTGTTTTTAATAAGTAAAAAATAAATCGATAAATAAGAAATGCCAATATGTAAGTAAATTAAATTATATTATTTATTACTACATTATTGCTAATGAATGCATTTGATTGGCACAATCACAATAGACTGTAGGCTTTCTTAGTGCCATCTATTTTATTGCATAAAAATACATAATCTAAATATATAAAAATGTATTTTTAAATATACTTGGATGAACGTTCAAACAGTATTTATTCAAATACAAAATGATTTAAAATGACTGATATTCTGTTTTCTTTTAGACTATAACTTATATGTATACATACTATGTAATTCACATAAATGCTATAATTTTTGTACATATTATTTTCTATTGATACATAAATTATAAACAATAAGAAAGTATAAATTAAACGTATAATTAATATACGTTTTAAGCGATTTAACTTTTTCATAATTAACTAAGATTGGAATCTACTTAAATGCATCTTTACATTAAATAATTCACTTGAGTACTTTTATATTACACAAGCTTATTTAAAATCTATTTTTCAAACATTTGTATCATGGGAAATCTTCAGTTTCTTTAATGTTTATAACAATTTAAATTATATTATTATATGTTCAGAAAAATAAATATACAACAATTATGTTTGTTATTTATATTTCATATATTGTAGTTTTATTTCATAATCATATATATGTAGTTTTATCATTTATGTTATTATGTCCGTTACTTATTATTATTTATTTGATTTTAATATTTTTCTCTGTCAATCTTGACTGTTCGATAAAATTAGACTGTTATCATTATAAAGAATTATCTTTATTTATTAATGTTACATAATTAATGTTTGCAATGTCTACGATTTTATAATTTTTATAACCTTTACTTATTCTTTATAACCTTTACTTATTTTGCAATGAGTATAAATACGGTGTAATCCGATAGCGACGATTATTTTCTAAGATTGTGTCTAACTGCAGTTGAAGAATAATCTATTCGCAATGAAAATTCTTTTAGTTTATGTTTGCATTTTAGTTCTTGCTGTAAGTATTTAATTTTCTTTTAATAAATTACTTAAATTATTTTAAGTTGTGTCAAGAAAAACGTAATTAAAATAATATGCAAAATAAATATTTTGCTTACTACAGTCATTTAGCTCAGCTGATGTAAAGGAACGAATTAAAAATGCAATAAAAGCGGCAACACCTGAAGAGGATGTTGAAACTTGCATGACCGAAAATGGTGTGACACGAGGTAAGTTATAATTATATGTATCGTTGCAAATTTTTCATACTGTAATTATATGTATCGTTGCAAATTTTTCATACCTTACATGAGACTCTTTAGTCAATTTTAATCAATTAATTATAGATGTTACTAGATTTGATGAGACATTTTTCTTCCTTATTATTTTTCTAATTATTTATATCTTTGCAATATACTGAAATTAATGTTGCAGAGGACATTTATCGTGAAGATCAGATATTAACTGATTTACATAAACAACCAGAAAATGAAGAAAGAACAAGGAAAAACGGCTGCTTTTTTGCTTGTCTTTTAAAAAAATTTGATTTAGTAAGTTTACATTACTCACATATTCATATACCAGTAAACACGAAGTTACATGTAATATAAATGTTAGTTGTAATTTTCCACTGAACAATGTAACTGTTATATAACGCGTTGTTTGCTGGGATATGATACCTAAAAATTACTACAATTACTATAAGGCATAATAAAATTTTAAGTTATCAAAAATGTATATAATAATGTATTAAATATATTTTTTATAACAAATTTATAAAAAATTAACATTTTTACATGCTACTAATGAACATATAGTAACTTTTAATCATAATTATATAAAACTGATTTATGCTTTAAAAGAATGATTAAAACAAATAAATATTACATTATTCTTACTTTTGTAATCTCTTTTTTTAACATTAGATGGAAGATTCAAACATTAAGGAATCAAAAGTTCATCAAGAATTAGATAAAGAATT